TAATGCAGCCCTTTGCACTCTGGGAATGAATAGATAACTTGACCCTTAAAAGCAATGAAAATGAGGGGAGTTGTATGGAACTAAAAGATTATGCAAGTACTCTGGAGCCAATCAAAGCATACATAAGTTAGTAGTAACATAGACTCAATACAAAGTTTAAGCTTGTGGGAGTTTTATTTACACAAAAATGTTCTAAGGGCAGAACAAAAAAAATCATTGGTTCAGAGAGATAACCAATCAGACTGTGTAGGAGGTGGGTCCAAGCAACTAGAAGAGGTGGGAAGAAACAGTTCAGATGTCTTTGATCCACCTCCTCTGTAATTTGATTGGTTATCTCTCTGAACCAATCCTTTTTCATTCTGCCTTCTAAAAATTATTGTGTAAGAACATAAGAAATTTACAAATGAGAGGAGGCCATTTGGCCCATCAAGCTTGTTTGGGGAAAACCCTATCCATCCATTGTCCAACCTGCTTATCCTACTGGGTTGTGGGGGGTCTGGAGCCTATTAGGCAGGGAACAACCTGGGATGGGGGGCCAGGCCATTGCAGGGCACACACACCATTCACTCACACATGCACACCTAAAGGCAATTTAGCAACTCCAATTAGCCGCAGCATGTCTTTGGACTGTGGGGGGAAACTGGAGTACCTGGAGCAAACCCCATGACGACACGGGGAGAACATGCAAACTCCACACACATGTGACCCAAGCGGAGACTCGAACCCAGGTCCCAGAGGTGTGAGGCAACAATGCTAACCACTGCACCACCATGCCACCCCGTAAGTCAAACTCCCATGAGCAAAAAGGAAACAGGAACACAATGTAGTAATGACAAAATGGGATTAATGTGATCAGACTTCCTGGTTACAGTATGAGTGCTACAGCTTTCAGTACTAACTGAAGTTTATTTAAGGACCCAGAGATACAGCTGGAAAGAAGAGTTAGAGTAGTCCAATCTTGAACTTTTAAAGGCATCGATTTGCTTTCCCACATCACAGAAAGCAAGATGGACAGCATCTTCCTAAGCTTGGCAGATTCCTCACATAGAAGTGTGTTGTCCTACTGACATTTCCAAGGTGAGCTTTAAAAGACAGATGTGAACCAAATACAGTATGACACCAAGATTTTTAGTTTAATAGAAAAACCATCAAATTTTACGTCATTAAGCACGCTCGGGCTACCCTCAGGCCAATTAGCAATACTTCCATTTCGTATGGGTTCGGTTGAACCTTGAAAACCTGGTGATCAGATTTGCAGGGCAGATGAGGACCTGAGTTAAGCTGGCAGGTGCTTGAAGCTGAACGAACCATGGAGAGCCGCATGCGGAGGCGTGACGTCACGTGTAGGTGCGGATGTGATTAACGCGAACCTCATGGACTCACACTTTGCTGTGCTGTTTAAACCCCAGTGATTCCTTCTCAGATGAATAGCGAGCTGGGAACCACCAGTGAAGAAGTCAGCATGCATGTTAAACTATTGCTTCTCTTGTTGTGTCTGGGTAGAGCTGAATTTTTAAAATAGCACCCCTCCCCCATGCCACTGCAACACTGCCAGTTAAAGTTAGCAAAGAGGTGGAAATTTCAGGTCTAGAAAGTAAAAATCCAGACCAAGATTTTGTTTCAACCAACCAGTTGAGAATTGGATTTTTGCTTTCTGGACCTTAAATTTCCACCTCTGCATGTGACCCAGCAGTAAGCCCAGAGCTGGGGTCTCGGAATGGACGTTAACAGTGAGTATAATTTACCATGCAGACATTTCATGCTTTTCCCTAAGATCAACATCTGTTTTTATTCTGTTTCATACCAGTTTTTTCTTTTTGTTGAGTGAATATGATGCTTTTCCTGAAGGTCCACTTTTGTGTGTGTGTTTTTTTTTTTTAATGTTCCGTCCCTCTGTTTTAGAGAAATGCAAAATGGACATAATTTGTTTCTGACTAGTTGGTCCTTTATGTTTTTGTTATTCTTGTAATTTTTATATGGCTTTGGGATTTGTTGGTAGGTTTCTGTCCTTGAGTAGGCTGTTTTTACAGAAGGATGTGGTTACAATGGAGGTTATTATTATTATTATTATTATTATTATTATTATTATATTGTCATTTTGCTTTTAGTCTTGCAAGGTTCTGGCATGTTCTTCAAAATCCTCACTTCCGATCCATATTCTATGGAATCTTGGAAATTGTGATTTTATTACCCCTTTTGGGACCCCCTCTATTACTCCTGTGTTTATTATCCCTTTGGGACCCCCTCTATTACTCCTCTGTTTATTACCCCTTTGGGACCCCCTTTATTACTCTTGTGTTTATTACCCCTTTGGGACCCCCTTTATTACTCCTGTGTTTATTACCCCTTTGAGACCCCCTTTATTACTCCTGTGTTTATTACCCCTGTGGGACCCCCTTTATTACTCCTGTGTTTATTACCCCTGTGGGACCCCCTTTATTACTCCTGTGTTTATTACCCCTTTGGGACCCCCTTTCATGTGTTTGAGGCTTTTATTATGAAGCAGTGAGTGTGTGTCTCCCTCCTTAAATGCACTTTTGTGTTTATCATGTTTGTGGGGGCTTCTCTAGGGTGTCTGTGAATGTGGCCCCATATGCCATCCAAGTATCTGTAGTAGTATGTTGGTTTTCGTCACACCTCTCAAATACCATCCCGTCCCAGTCAGATCTGTTAATATTTACATACTTATTCCTCTCTTGGCTGTGCCCTTGATTTGCATGTAAACCTGACAATTGAATCAAAAGACAGTCTGTTAGCCAATTATGCAATAACTGGAACATTTTGCTTCGGTACATATTTTTCTGTTGTCCAATGGCTATTAATACTGCTGCAGTGTCAATGTTTGCGGGTACATTATCAATGTTTATTGTGAAGATGGCTGTTTCAGCTGCTGTGGTGTTGTGCTTTTCAACAAAGTCCTCTATGTAACTTTTATCTTTTGTGGATAGTGAGTTTATGAAGAAGTCAATGTAGTTATTCTATAAGACTCTCATAGTTTGACTATGGTGCTTCCAGCTGGAATTTCATACAGAAGAGACCATCTTTGCAGGTCCTTATGTATTTTGGGTAATAGGTACAATATTCTTTGTCTGAATCTGAATCCTCAGGGAGAATCTCTGTTTGTGTGAGTTTATTTTCTTTCCTCTTGTGATTGCATTATTTGGTTGATTTCTTTGGCTGTTTCCAGGTATATCAGGGTTGTAGGATCTCTGTAATGCTGGATGTTGTTTATTCACCTCTCCGCTTCCCAGACACCCTGTTCCCTGTCCATTGTCACCACTGTACTTCCTGTATTGTTTCCTCATCTTCCCAGGTTGTTCGCTTACTGCCTGTCTTGATAGGCCTTTGTCCGTTCAGCTTTTTGTTGTTCGGTCTAGTTGGGTTTTCTAGTTTAAATGTTCGATCTAGTGGTCTAGCATCCTCCTGGTATCCTTCTGCCACTCATAATCACTTTTTTATCCCAGTCCTAGCTCTAACACAAAAGGCAACCTTAACATTATCAGTAACCGGAACCCTAATGCCAAACCCACCTGTAACCCTAAACTTTATTCCAACCTTCCCCAGATGCCCATAGCTCCAACCCTAACCCTACCCCCAAACGTTTTCCCTAATCCCTTGAATAAAAAAGTGCAGAATTTCAGTGGTGTGTTATACTCTCCAATCCTGCGAAATCTTGTTTGTTTAGCCTACTTTGCTGTTCCCCTGAGGCATAGCATCACAGAACACCCCCACCCCTGAGAGGTGGGTGAATCGCTGGGTTAGGACTCAGTGCCTGTCATTGGAAGGTCATCAGTTCAAATCGCTTGGCCAATCGAGCAGTCATATCACCACTGGGCCCGTGAGGCAGGCCCATAATTCCAACTGCTTCAGGTGCTCTGGGTGAACAGCAGATCCTGACCTGAACCCAAACTTTGCTGTCACCTGTATACAGTAGCAGTCAGAAGTCTGGACACGCCTAGTGATGAGACAGATGACCTGGGGTGATTTGGATTGAAGAGTAACAGCAGGGTAGCCAACTTCTGCCCAGAACTTGTGGAAACTCCTTCAGAACTGTTGGAGAAGCATTCCAGGTGGCTACAGGAAGCTGTATGAAAACATGACAAAAGTCTGCACTGCTGTCATCAATGTAAAAGAGGGCATCTTGAAGAGTCTAAAATTTAGAGATGCTGAACACTTCTCTTGGTCATTGCGACACTTCATACGTATTACTTCATTGTCTCGAGGCCTTATATTATGAGGTGAACAATGTGCTGTACTAGTCGCCAAAACTGTGGAAACACTTCCAGTTTTTAGAGTTTGCAGAACTTCATTAAACTGTTGCTCCAGTTACTTACGTAATCATCCAGTATATGATATTTATAACATTCTTTGATTGTTTATAAACATTATCGCCAATATTTGTGATAATTTTTAAAGTTTAATGCCAAAAATGTTAACAATTTTGGCCACTACTGTGGCTAAAATAGAGACAAATGTATTAAAAGCAGACGTGTCCAGACCTTTGACTGGTACTTTATGTCTGTGCCTTTTTTAGGAGAGTAAAATGGGATAAGTGAAGTCTGAAATTTCGTTGTACTTGCGTTCACTAATCTCGGCGTCCTCCATCCACATGGCTCCGCGTGGTTTGGGACTCACAGCACCTTCCATATGTGGTTCCGTGAGGTGCTGGCATGTGCTGATAGATCAGTGCAGGCTGCCTCACGGAGAGGATGCCTTGGAATCGGTCAGGTTTCCATAGCAGAATATAGACACCTGCTTCTCCTCATGTGTATGCAGGAACATAAATGGCATCACTAAGGCAGAACGCAATGTGTCAGAATCCCTCTGCAGAGCCACTGAAAAACAAAATGAGGCAGCCATTACCCACCACACCTCAGCAAGGTGCCTTTGGGCTATGACGATCTCGCCTTCCGCAGGAGTGCTGAGGGGGACGGGGCTCTGTCCTGAAAAGGGGGTCACTTGATTGGTCGATGCTAATACTTCTCCCATTTGTGTGACAGGGACTTCTTGCCACGTGGCTCGGGCATTGTGACCAGGCGCCCCCTGGTGCTTCAGCTTATAAACTGCCCCACAGGTGAGCCTCTTCTACCCAAATACACACCCATTAATTGACTAATTCATGAATACTGTAATGTGGTTGTGTTACTGTTTCACTGCTTACCAACATTGTAATGTAAAGTGTTGTGCCACTGTTTACTAATGCATTGATTTAAAAGGCACAGATGTATGGTTCCTGCTACCTAACAAATAAGCCTAAATATTTTATCCCAGGGCTGTTTGTCTGGCTTAGTTTAATCATGTATTCCTTCTTTTTTACACAACAGATTTTATTTATCTCTTGTGACCCAGGATCTTCTTTGTGTTTTTCTACTGTCATAGCAAAGAAATACAGTTACAGAGAGTTTATATACTTACCTTATTTTCTTATGTATGAGGTAAAAGTTCTGCGTGAGAGTTGAATTTTATAGATAGTTAAATGTTACTGTTGAAAAACACTGAACTGTAACACATTTTAAACACTTTCATCTTTTTATACACACGCATTAATGAATATTTACCATTTTTAGTCAGATATTCAATAGATCACAACAGGTAAATTAAACAATAGCGGAACACTGCTAAATCATGTCTATGCTTGCTCAGGAGCCGTACATTTGCCGCACAATGTTTTTCATTGTTTTTTTCATTTTTAATTAGAGTTAATGGAATAGTGTTTTTTTACTTATTATTATTATTCTGATACTTTGGAATTATGCTGGTTACTTAAATGTGCCATTACTTGAACGCCAGATATGAGTATCTTTTACAGTACACCCTTCTATTTTGAGGAAAGATGCTTACTAATACTGCCACCTAGTGTCAGGAGGCCCACTATTTTAAATGGGGTTTTTCCCTTCCTCCATTGCAATTTTATTCTCCCTCTCTCATCTTCTTCCCAGAATATGCTGAATTTCTCCACTGCAAAGGAAAGAAGTTCACAGACTTTGATGAGGTGCGGCAGGAGATCGAAGCGGAGACGGACCGTCTCACAGGGCAGAACAAGGGCATCTCCCCAGTGCCCATTAACCTGCGTGTCTACTCTCCTCATGGTGTGTTGCCCCATGTTATGCTGCAGTGCATTCTGGGTTACGGATGATGGAACATGTTGTTCATCTTGTCCTCATCTCCCTGCTCTCCCACCATACCCCCCCCCAAGTCCTGAACCTGACCCTGGTTGACTTGCCGGGGATGACCAAAGTGCCGGTTGGAGACCAGCCAGCCGACATCGAGCAGCAGATCCGCGACATGCTGACGCAGTTCGTCACCAAGGATAATTGCCTGCTCCTGGCCGTGTCACCTGCCAACTCGGACCTTGCCAATTCCGATGCCCTGAAAATTGCCAAAGAAGTCGATCCACAAGGTAGTCACTAACCATCACACAGCCTGCTAACTAGCTACTTAGGAACAGACTATTCTGAATTTTTGAGCTGCATTATATCCGGCTAATTCGCAAGCTAGTTAACAACTCGGGGTTTTTACTCATTTATGCACCTGGGTTCATTTTCCTGAAACAATTCAGGTTTAACGGAACAAGATGTATGACCCAGTAACCTTAAGGTTAAGATAGCTTCTCCAGAACCACTGTTACCTGCTGCCCATCTTATGCACGAAAACAATGGAAGAACAGCCTTGTGGCGTGGGAGGAATTTTTTCCATATTGTTTACTCTGTTTTGTCTCTTATTGAAATTATGTTACTTTATTACAAATCTGCAATATTATGGAAAAAGAAGAATTAGAACCAGGTGAATTTTATTATTGAGATGAAGGCACTGAAGTATTGTCTAACTGTACCTCTGACTGAAACTTTCTTTGTGTGTGTGTGTGTGTGTGTGTGTGTGTGCAGGGCTGCGCACTATTGGCGTCATCACCAAATTGGACCTGATGGACGAGGGGACGGATGCCAGGGACATCCTGGAGAACAAGCTGCTTCCGTTGCGGCGAGGTAAGCCCCCCGCTCCCTGGCCCCCGAGAAAAGCGGAGCCAGAGTGGGAGACTGTGTGTAATCACTATGTGACACCCAAACCACACAATGACGCACTACAAAGGACAACAACTGAAATTTAAATGGCCCATTTTTTGGGTGATTTATGGCTCAGTGGGTCAAGACAGAATCTGTGCTAGAGATCAGAAGGTTGTTGGTTCGAATCCCAGACTTGGAAAAATGATTTTACTGTTGGGCCCCTGAGTAAGTTCTTAGCCCCCATTTGCTCCAGGGACTAACTGACCCTGCTTTCACTTACGCTTTTGAATAAATGCATCTGCTAAATTAATGTAACGTCATATTTTTTCACTTGTTTCAAAAATGGTGCAGCCTATCTGCCTCGCCACAGCTCCCTCTGGTGGCCATACGGGTATTGTGGTGCATTGTCCGATGTAAATGGAAGGAGGAAGCGTAAAACACGAAGTCCATGTTTGAGTGATACATCTGGAAAAGTGCCTCGGCCCGCCTGCTGCTTTGTGCTGAGCTCCGCAGAAGCCAGCATCTATGTGGGAAACCCTGTAATGTAATCTGCTGATGTGGATTCTTTCAGTCTTTTCCGCTCGAGCTTGGCTACAGCTCAGCCCCTTGTCCCCAAGCTCTGCTTCATGCTCCCCCTCCCCATGTTTTTTTCATCTTGTTTTTTTTTTTGGCTGCACCCCCTGGGGTCCAGGGAGCAGGGAGACATATATCATGCTTAGCATCTTGCCCCCAGCACGGTCTTCAAGTGTGACCCAGAGGTACCATGGATCAGAACCCAATAAGCATTCTAATAGATGTCATGTGATCTATGACCTTTGACCCCCTTCCCCCCCCCCTTTTCCTCTATGCAGGTTATATTGGCGTGGTGAACCGGAGCCAGAAGGACATTGACGGGAAGAAGGACATCACAGTGGCCATGGCTGCTGAGAGGAAGTTCTTCCTGTCCCATCCCTCCTACAGGCACCTGGCTGACCGCATGGGCACCCCCTACCTGCAGAAGCAGCTCAACCAGGTGAGCTGCTACGGTAACTATGGAAACACAAGAAGGAGGAAGGGGACCCTAAATCTAGAACGTGCTTCAAACTGTATAGTTCCTGTGTAACAGTAAGGTTTCTAGAGCGGCTCACACTGATAGGTTCCTCCCCCTCATGCAGCAACTGACCAATCACATCCGGGACACGCTTCCTGGGCTCAGAGCCAAGCTGCAGAGCCAGCTGCTGTCCATTGAGAAGGAGGTGGAGGAGTACAAGAACTTCCGGCCCGACGACCCATCCCGCAAGACCAAGGCCCTGCTGCAGTGAGGGGCCGCTCGTATGAATGCATGTGTCCTCAAGCCAACACAGGCATCACCGACATCTTAGCTTGGCCTCGGTCACTGGTCATCACCGTTTTGTAGCTAAACTCTGTGTTCTCTCTGTGTTCCTCAGGATGGTGCAGCAGTTCTCAGTAGACTTTGAGAAGCGCATTGAGGGCTCCGGCGACCAGATTGACACCTACGAGTTGTCAGGCGGCGCCAGGATCAACCGCATTTTCCATGAGCGCTTCCCCTTCGAACTGGTCAAGGTGCGACACGTGACATGTGCACACACCACTGGCGCCCCCTAGCTGCCATTAGGTGAAATCGACTGGCTAAGTCCGCACCCCCTCAGAATGGGCATAACCACAGGGTTCTACGAGTATAATCCGAATTCCAGCATGACGACCTTAACCCCTACCAGCCCTAACCATAAGTAACCAAAGAAAATATTAGACTTTTGCCATTTTTAGTTTTTCGATTGCATTCACAGATTTTGGTAAAATTCAGTTTTCCCTCGTAGGGACTGAAAAAATTGTCCCCACAATGTCAAAATAACAGGTTTTTATCATATTGTGGGGCCATTTGGTTCTCACAGACACAGACACACACACACACGTTCACAAGTGCACATGCAGGCGTGCAGACAAAACAAACAAGGGATTCCTGTATTTTACGGGATGTTCCGGCAAACAATGCTCCTGTGTTTCACTGATTACCAGTGTGTTTGTGGCCTGGGGCACAAGGCAGAGAAGTCCTCTCCCAGTACGCGAGCTTTCCCAGTCAACCTCCCACCCCCTCCATTTCCTGAATGTGCCTCTCATCTTGGGGAGTGGGGGCCCTTTGCTGTCAGTTAGCCAAAGCAGAGAGGGTGACTCATAGCTTAGGATCGAGCCCCTGGGCCTTAACCAGAGGCTTTATGACTAAAGTGTTCCGCTTTCGCTCTCTTACTCTCTCCTTCCCCCTCTCTTTCTGTGGAAAAAATAATAATCCGCACACATCTACCGTCTGGACGGCCTGAGGAGAGTGCAGACGTGGGGTCAGATACACACAGGACCAGGGGGAGTTCAGATTAAAAGCACGATTAATACGGGGTCGAGAAGCCCGGGTCACCTTGTACGGCCACAAACGCAGCAGGAATCGCAGAAAGATCAATAAGGTGCAAAGAGCCACAAGCCACGGGGTGTGTTACGCCAATGGTCTCTTAGCCAATGGGAGCACTTTACTCACAGAGAGACTGAGGGCCCGTTCGATCAGTGGCTCACAAAGTACTTCACGTGTCCTTTCTTTTTCTAGATGGAGTTTGACGAGAAGGAGCTCCGTAAGGAGATCAGCTATGCCATCAAGAACATTCATGGCATCAGGCACGTTGACCTCTGGCCCCTCCCTTGACACTGATCATTTTGTAGGCCATTCTAGTCTCCGTCCTCTTCCATTTGGGGGTCACATTGACTCAAACCTATTATCCATCTGATCACTGGCACAAAATTCATTATACATCCATTCACCCATCTGTACAATGGATGAGACCACATTTCTGTTAGGTTTGTGCCCAGTGTGACCTGTCGTTGTTGCTTCCTTGCATCCTGCTCCGTAGTGAAGTTACATTCCCCTTCTGTGGAAGCTGGAGCTCCAGACTACTACCAGGCTGTTGTCAACCTCTAAAGCTTTGCTGAAATGTCAAGGCCTGCAGCGCTCAGATCTTGATCTACCCCCCACCGCTCACTCCTGTGCTGCTTGGGCAGGTGGGAAGCAGGGGGGGAGTAGGGGGGGAGTCGACTGCGATTAGAAGAAGATTGGTTGGCTGCTTCCGCCCTCTATTCTGGTTGGAGGTGTCAGAAAGAAAAAAAGATTGATTTAATTGATCCGCTGTTCTCTGCTATGTTCTTCTATCCTGGAATCATCATGGCATAGTCTGGAAAAAGGCATCCTTCTGTATCAGACATACAGATACACAGACACGGCTTGATATCAGATCGCCCCCTACAGGGAGAGGACCGCACTGCAGATTCCTATAAAGGTGCAGTCACACTGGCACAAAAAAATATTTGCGTCTCATTCACATACCTCAGATGACACAGAAGACCTTGGGATTTTCCCACTACAAATACGTCACTGTTCATATTATCCCTGCCCCCGGCTTCAGAGGCTACAGTCTTGTGGAAATTAGTACATGCAGCAATTTAGGGAAGACAACAAAGCCTGCAGATAGTAAACAAGATGTTAGCACGCAGTGTGGCGGACTAGCAGTTGGATTTGAGTCCATCAGTGGCTCCTACTGTTATCCTTTTTGGTGCAGTTTTTAGACTTTGTCATTTCTGCAAAAATAAGAGGGTGTATAAATGCACAATTATGCATTAAGTCATGCTGCTTGAAAGTGTTTACTTAATATCTAAAATAACATTACCAGGACACTTCTGAAGTACTATAGGCAGAACCACAAGGAAGCTGTTGTCCACTGAGCAGACAATGGGCAAAACCATGGGAATGATCTAGGAAAGACAGATAGTTTACCACAAACCCTTCTATGATCAAATTAGGGATCAGGAACATCTCATGGACCACATGGTGTGGTCAGCTGGCGCCGGGATATAATTCTTCTACATGTGGGCGGTGTTAGAGTGCTGTCTCACGGTGATGACATAACCGTGTCTGCGAATGATGGAAGCCACTGAGCACAGAAGAATTACCCCCCCCTCCATTAGCATAAAGGTCAGATGCATGCTGTAGATCAAAAGCCTCATCTTGATGTCCCTCACCCCCCCCAGCCCCATTTCATATATTTATACATGTACCACCTCCATCATAGAGGATTCATATAATTATGGGCTGGAATATTGCAGGATTTTCTTTAACCAGGATTGTCAGGCAATGGCAGGGGGAGGGAGTCATGGAACCACTGCTTTCAACAATCCCATATAAAAAAATCTGCGCACCTCAGACGCTGTTTCTGACTGTTCTGAATATGACATCAGACTCATACAGGCCTGTATATGCAGTTGCTTATGCCTTGGGCTTTATCTATATTTCATATAAACTGAAAAATATTATCTGCCATGGCTCCATGTGTGTGGAGTTTACATGTGCTCCACATGTCGCCGTGGGGCTTCCTTCAGGTACTGCAGTCTCCCCCCCACACACCAAAAACATGCTGTGGTTAATTGGAGTTACCAAATTGCCCATTGGTGTGCCTGTGTGAGTGAATGGTGTGTGTGTGCCCTTGCGATGGGTTGGCGCCCCATCCTGGGTTGTTCATTGCTTTGTGCCCGTAGGCTCTGCGTTAGGCTCCGGACCCCCGCCCCCTGCAACCCTGAATAAGACAAGCGGTCACTGAAAATGGATGGATGAATGGGTGGATGGATGGATGAAATATAGCTAATCATTATAAGATACATACAGACACTGACAGATGACGAGTGTGTTAGAGGGCAGAAGGAAAAATTATTGGTTGGGAGAGAAAACAATCAAACTGTAGAGGAGGTGGGTCCAAGCAACTAGAGGGGGCGTGACCAAACAACGAGATGTCTTGGTCCTATTCCTCTAGTTGCTTGGACTCACCTCCTCTGCAATCTGATTGGTTACCTCTCTGAGCCAATCATTTTTCGTTCTGCCATTTTTGTGTAAATAAAACTCCCATGAGCTTGTGTTAATAGTAGATGTTTTTGGTATGGGATGTTTCTGCCCTGACTGGGATGGGGTGGGATAGACAGGTGGGTTCTGTGGCATTAACGCCTTCTCTTTCTGCCTGGCCTCCCCCCCTCTCTCTCGCCGCCCCGCGGGCAGGACTGGGCTCTTCACCCCGGACATGGCCTTTGAGACCATTGTGAAAAGGCAGATCGGGAAGATTAAAGAGCCGTGCCAGAAATGCGTGGACATGGTCATTTCTGAGCTAGTCAATACTGTTAGACAGTGTACCCGGAAGGTAAAAACCACCAAAATACCCCCCCAGTCTCCTTGAGAGGGGGGCTACCCCCAAACCCCTGAAAGAGCACCACTCCCTCTCACCACCTCAAACGCTGTACCCTTCTGCCGTTTGGGGATGTACATAAGAGCCAGGATGTGGAGGGTGATTTCTGGGAGAAGGATGGGTGGAATGGGGTCAGGGGGTGAGGGGGGGGCTCACACTATGGCCACTGTATCTTGCCAGGGGCGATTCCAAAGTTTTTTTTAAAGGTAGGTGGCATAAGAGGGGCATAATTCATATAGAAGGATCAACCTTATCATTAGCCAATGATATGATTTTAATCAGTGAGTGACAGGGGAGGAGGCACTGCAGGGACCAGTCAGCTTTCAGCTGAGATCAGTAGTCCTGTGGCCCCGCCCCTGTACACGCCCCTGAACCTTGCAAAGTGGCAAAGGTGTGTCTGGAAGTTGGGTTCCAGCCATTGTGAGGCTGCCATAGTTCACCATGAGCTAAATAGCTCCCTCTTCAGGAAATCAGCTGCTGGTCCATTAGACTGTACCCCTGACCCGTATTGATACTAAGTGCATAGTGGTGGCCTCATTGTGGCGCTCAGCATCCAGACTTGCCCCCTGGGAGACAGCGGCCGCATCCCTGGCACCAGCGGCCCGACTGCGCTTGGCTCCTGGGAGTCGGAGCCCAAACGGGTTGCCGGGCTTCTAGGGAAGTCTGGCCGGTGTCTTGCTCGTACTGGTCATGGATGTGTTTGGGGGAGGGGGTGGCGGTTCTTGGGCTGTTGGCTTGTTGACGTGGGCTGGCCTGAATCCTTCTCTTTCCTCATGGTAGGAATCCTGGGGGTGCCCTGATGTGTAGGGGTGGGGGGGTTGGAAAGAGAGGGAGACTGGTGCTGCCCCCTATTGAATGGCTTATGGAGATACCAACGGTCTCACATGCCTTTTCTTTCCCTCTGTGCTGTTTACCCTCCCTTTTGTCCCATCACCCTCTCTTGTTTCATCTATCACAACCTCTCCCTCACTTCAATATCCCCCCCCCCGTCTCACCTCTCCATCTTGTACGGCTCATGCCCTCTCCCTGGTTTATCCTTCCCCTACCTCTCTACCTCCCTTTTTTTTCCTCTCCCCTCTGTGCTCTGCCATTTCTTTCAACCCCCCGCCCCACGCCTCCCCCCCCCCCCCCCCCCCCCCCCCC